TGCCTTTGTTTTCATCCCTGATAGAAATAGCAACACATGGGCCACTGTGTTTGTCTTTAAGATGGCACACAGCTAATCCTGTGTGAAGCTGGAGGGATCTCTTCAGCTACTCTTGTCAGCGTTGATTTGTCAACAACAATCTTTTTATTTTCTCTGTAAGCTGACACCATCATGTCTGCGCGATAATGTGATAGAGGCGAAGCCGGATTGAATCTGAGCAGGGTGCGCTCAAAAAAGCCGGGCCTCCACTATGCCACTGTACGAGTGGAGTCTTTGTGGGCTTGTGCACTGTGGCTTTAAAAAGCAAAACACAAGCTCAACAGTTTAACAAACAAGCCAACTAACTGAAAAAAATTTAAAATGTTGACTAAACTGTGCTGTTTTTGAGGACGCAGAAAGGAGGAATGCATATATATGCAGCGCCCATTTAATCACGCAATTGTTTGAAATAAGGGGATGAGTATTGAAGGTAATTAAAGATTCCAACCATGACTGCCTGGCTGGTGAATATGTAGCTATGAGCAAAAGAAGCAAACAACAATTAAAAAACCTCAATAGGAACACCCAGCTTAAAGCGAGCAATCATGTCCGAGATGTTGGGCCTAAATGAGGATGTTGTTTTCTCTTTTCTGTTCTGTCAATCTCCGCCAGAAAGCGATTTCCTCCTGAAGAGTGGCGGCCAGGGCTAAAAGCATGTTTTAATAAGCGCACTGACACATCCATCTTTGTTTCTGAGAGATAAGTCACAACGAGCGCGGAGCAAAGCATCCGGGGCTTGCTGGAAGGATGCCCACTGCTGCGTATCAGTTGAATGTGCTTAGGCGCACAAAAACACACAAACATGCACTTACAGTCAAGCTCACAGCATGCATACGCATACATACAGAAGAGCTGTCACCATAACTTAAATCCTATTTATCACCAAACCAGTGGAATTTGTTTTTTTTTTTCTCTCCTTGGAGCCGAAGGTGGTTGGCATGTTCACTTTATGCCTCCTCGGAGATTAGTGAATTCAGCCTTGCTCTGTTCCCACTGTGTCTCCTTTTAAGTCTTCTCTCTTATACTCCCCCTTCCTCTTCTTCTTCACATCACCGCATTACATTAAATGTGCTTTTATTTGTTTATTTATTTATTTGTATCATCTGGGGGGGAAGGAGTGAAGTCTCAAATACCTGGGACTTATAGCCGGCTGGGGCTTGCAGCTGTGCGTGTGATTGAGGAGCGTGACAGAAATGTCCTCATTAGGTCTCCAAATGCGGTAGGGAAGGAGGTTAGGAGAGGAAAGGAGAGGAGAGGAGACATAGAAGAAAACGGAGAAAAGTTTGGGAGCTTTTGACACTTGCCGCCTTTTATCTGTGCGGCATCTAAAGTTATGTGTGCTCTAAAAGATATTCATGCACAGGCTCCAGTTCACACTCTCTTTCTCTCGCTCACACGCACACAGAGACACACACAATGAGTCACAAAGTGCACTGGAGTAACTGTAAGTCATTATTATACACTATTAATTAAAGAGAAATAATAGAAGCCAGATGAACTTCTGTTCAGCCTAATTATCATGTCTTTGATACCAAATTGTGCAGAAAAAGTGAGCCGAGTCAGACGGAGCGAGCGATGGGGAGGCTCAGGCTGGGACTTGGGGAGTGGAACTTGGTGAGTGGAGGATCTCATGCTGCATCCCAATATGGCACCCGTAACCCTTCCTTGAAATCAAAGCTCAATTTCTTAATTGCAGAATGAAATGAGACACACACAAACAGAATGGGTTTTTTTATTATATTATAGGACCAGAAGAACTAGGTAGCAGTAGGGGTAAAGGGGAAGAGGAAGCGGTTTGCTCAGGGGAAAACTGCAACAACAAACAACAATCATCTGTTTTATCTGCCTTTTCTCCACATCTCGCCCTCTGAGTGCATCGAGTGATCTTTGAACTCCGCGCTTCCACGCCAACTCCCCTGTCGCCTTGTTTACATGTTGTTGCCGCCGCTTCGTTCGCTGCGCGCTGATCATTAACATCATTATGTGTCTATGATACCACACGTCGAATCAACAAATCAACTATTCTTCCGAACCATCTCTGCTGGTCTAATGATCAGACCAACTTTGTAACCCTGTCTTTTTGCTGAAATGTTTCTTCACTTGTTGTCATTAAAGTGCTGTGAAAACACACCTGCTTGTTGCCGTTTGTCACAGGAGCACAGTGCAGCCGACGGCTCTGCTCTGTCTGTATGAGAGATGAGATCCACTGCGGAGAGAGCCAGACGGAGCCACGGCAGAACCAACGGGGGTAACAACGGGGCCATCGGTGGCAGCTTTTCAGAGAGGTATTCAGCAATCAATAAAAATGTGAATAAGTCAAACAGGAGAGAGATGGAGATGTAGAGGGAGAAAGGAAAAGTCAAGAAGATAGGGGAGAGGGAGAGAGGAAGAGGGAAGGAGAAAGTGGTGGCACAGCTGAGGTTGACACTAATGAGGAGCCTTTGTGATGGGTCCTGACAGAGGAGAAGAAAGCAGAATCCCCCGACACCGATGCTCCACAACACTCCTCTGCTTAATTGGGAGAGCCAGAGCCCACAACCAGAGAGTGTGTGTCAGAAAGCATGTGCATCTGTTTTAGTTGGAGTAAGTGAATGTAAGACAAAGTAGACTTATATAGATGCTCACTCAATTAAGCCTTCACATTGTATGTTGGTGTATGTAATAGAGATCATGTAGATATTCGCAGCTCACTCTATGTTCTTGGTGGATTTTCACACTTTTTTGGTCTCGAATTTCACGCTTTTAGTCGATGTTGGCAAGATACGCGGCTCAGAGCATTAAATGCACACTGATGGCTTTGAGGTTCACACGTCAGATATCTGCAATCTTCGCACATTCTTTAAAGGTGTCAGGAATACGGTGTCATAAGCCAATCCTTCGTTTTGCATTACCCGCAAATGTACATGCGTACTGTAGGGGCCCTGCTAACACATTGTCCACGGCGACAAGGCTCGCACGCTTGCATGAACCGAAAAAGGGCAGCGCAGCATCCGTGCACATGCATGCACTTAAAAGCATGCGCTTGTGTGCAGACACAAGTTAGGGGGGGGCACGATCGCTCGCTCGCTCGCTCCCTGCGTTGCAGTTTCCATCTTTGACTCTGAATCAATCATTTTTAATTTATCAGAAGGGATTTGTGTCATGAAGGCTGATGCCAACTCCAATAAGAGGGAAAAAAACAACACAACAGCAGTGAAAAAGCCAAAGCAAATCCCTGCTCTGATGCGATTATACACACAACCAAATCAGGGCTGACTTGAATAGACACAGAACACAAAATCATATTAAGGGAAATTCGATGTGGATGGCATTACATTGCTCCCAATCTCCCTTTCCCACCCCCCCTTACCCCCTTTCTGCTCTTCTCTCCCTCATTCTTTCTCTGACTTTCTTCCTCCATTTCTCCCTGTCCCTCTTCTGTCATCATCATCATTGCCTCCTGATTTTTTATCGCCAGTGACCTGAAAAATTCCTAACCAGTGACTTATATTTTCCTCTTCTCTGAGTTGATCCTCTGTTTTCTGCTCGCAGCACTAAATCTGCCATCCACCCTTCTCCAAGGGGAAAAACTCTTGTCACACAGGTAGGACCCGGGATAGATGA